AAAAAAAAAAAAAGAATAACAGAAATCACCATGAGGGAAAATCTTCAGTCAAAACAAAAGCACACAGGCTGGAAAAATATTTGCATAAAATATAACAAAGGACTGAGAAATGTTCATTACAGGAAACGTAGAACTTACTAAGTAAAACATTAAGATGCCAAAAGGTAAAAAGTAAACCAGACCATTTCCAAAAAAGAATATGCAGTTAGCAAAGCCGTCTGGAAAAACACCTCACCTCCGAAACAACGGACACAAGTGTAAAATGGTGCACAACCCTGGGAGGCTAGAGAGGTGACAGAAACTCGAAAGCAATGTAGTCATGTACTGAAGCCTTTTCAATGACTGTGGTCTCTGACCTAGTAAGTGCACATCTGGAAACATATCCTAAGAAAAGCATCACAGAAAAAGCTTTGGCACATCGCGGGTTATCACGGTTTGATTTGATTTGCACCACAGTTAACAAATTAAGAAAAAGCATGATGTACACAGTGGAATAAATATTCCCATCATTAAAAGTAACGTCCTAAAGTCTTTGTAGTGATCCTGAAAATGTTTATATCACGATATGGAGTGAAAAAAAGGAGGATACAAATTCCTTTAGAATGGTTATGACCGTGTCAGAAACCGGTTTAAAAAGCTGCCTGCAGAGTAGCAGACCAAAACTTACCAAAGCGTTCCAAGTAGTGGGGCTTTAATATTTTCCAAATCATTTTTAATGAATGCATGTTACTGTTAGTATTTTTAAAATACATTTCTTAAAAAAAAAAAGGTCAAGGCAAAGGACACGATGACAGGCAGCGCTCTGTGATCCTGTATTACTCTGTGGTGGAGACCCAGCGGGAAGTGGCTCCAGAACAGAAAGAATACGTATCTGGTGCTGTCAAAACCACTGGCCTCCACCAAAAGTCTCCGCTTTCATTTCAAAGATAACCTAAACCCTAGTAACTATTGCTGTTGCTGCCAGAAGCTGCTGAGGGCCTCCTATGCACCAGCGCTGTTCTAGAAGCTTCTGTGTATTAGACACATCCTGAAATTAGTTCAACCTCATGACTCAGGTGGACAGGGCTGCATACGGAATCTGTTGTTAGAAGTGGGAAAATCAAAGGAAAGCATATAGAAAGGTGACCGTTTCTGTTCTGCAACTCGCCCTCATGTCAGGGCACCTGGACGGGCCACACTCTTGAAAGGCTGCCCACAAACACATTCTATGAACCTACCAGAATCTAGTTAACAACTCCCAAATGATGGGCCAACATTCCAAGCACTGCTCACTTTTCTCTATCACACAGCAGGCCACGGGGCACCCACATCCCACATCTGAAGTGCGGAAGACTGCAGCGGTGGGCTCGCTCCCCCGCCGCGCCATCGCGGGTCACACAGCACAACGGCCATCACCAGAGAGCTCTGCGCAAAGCTCTCCCAGCCTCATCCTCGCTGACAGTCCCCCCACGCGCCAGCCACTACCTAGTGCCTGCCCTTCAGCTCCTTGAGTCTTGGGAAACGTGTCAGGGGCCCTGGAGGGTTCAATGTCCCCACCGTCCCTGCCTGCCCTGGGGCCCCTCACCCGCAGTAGAAGACAGCCTTCTGCCAGGAGCGCAGCCGGTCCACCTTCTCCGCCACCGTGTTCGCAAACTCAATGAACTGGCAGCAGAAGGGCGCCTCGCAGAGCAACAGGATGAAGGCGTTCATGCTGGAGGGCAGAAAAAGAGAGGGGCAGGCTGACAGGCCTGGGGATATGGGGGGACCCCAATGCCCAGCACCAGAATGCCTCCTCCCGCCCCCCCCCCCGCCCCGTCTTCCTCTCAGGGCCACTGCTGAACCACTGCCCACACACCAGTCTCCCTAACCAAAATGAATGCTCCAGAGGAAGAATCTGGTCTTCCCTTTATCCCTCTGTCTTCGAAGGAGACAAGACCCCCTGCATCACGGCGCCGCCATAAGCATAAGCATGCAGTGAGTCCCTCCACACAGAGCACTGGGCAGAGAGCCAGCCGCCACTCGGCTACTAGCATGATCACCCCTGTCACCCATGTGGCCATCAGCACTGGGAAAGCTGTCCCCAGCAGCGGCTCATCCACCAGGACGGCCAGGAGTGGGTCAGTCCACAGTCACTGAGGGCTGACCCTCGGCAAGGCCACACAGGGAGGAGGGAGCTTAGCAAGCCCTGTGGTGTAGTGTTCTCTCCCCCCTCCCCCGTGCCTTCCTGTATTCTGGCTGGGGACAGCTAACCCGTGGGGACAGACAGAGGGGTCTGCTCCAGTCTTTGTGTTCTCCATGGCTGGGTCACAGTAACAGACACCAGGGCCCTCATTACCTATGTTCGAGAGAAACTCAAGCTGCAGGTGCCCCAGGAGCCCGCCTGAGCCCAGAGCAGGGACTCTGCACAACCCACATTCCCCCACCCCTGGCTCTCCCCAGCCTCCTGTACAGGCCCGTCCTCCCAGCCCTTCCACAGCCAGGCCAGCCTGTCTTCTGACTCAGCCCACTGAAGCCTCGGCCCAGTGCCTCAACACCCCAATCCCCCATGTGTCTCTGGGCCCCACCCAGCAAGCCTCCGCCCTGGCCTGAGTTCTCTGGGGGCAGGGCTCCACCCTGTCCATCTCCGTGCCCCTCCCCGGCCAGGTCCCACGGGGGCACAGGCAATGCCTGGTGCACGGCCACCTCTCACGTGCGCTGGGTGGCTCAGATGTGGCCAGAGCCGCACTGGCCAGTGCTCACCCCCTGCCTTCCCTTCCCACGGGAATGAGCTACCCTGGCAGGAGGCGGGCAAGGAATTCATCTAGGGCATTCTAACCACGTGATCCCGCACCAGCTCTAATCTGCCCCGTCTGTGGCTTGCTCACCTCCAAGCTGGAGCTCCAGATCCCAGCACCGGGCTCCAACCCCACCAGACACCAAGCCTCTAACTCAGGACATGTTTGTGACCCCAGCCCTAAACCCAATAAAGGCCTGGATGGGGGTTCCCCTGGCCTGCCCCTACAGAGAATCAGGAAAACGAAACATGACAGGGTATGAAGGAGGTGAAGCCCTGCATGGCGAGCCCCAGCCCCACCAGGCAAGATAGTCACGAGGCTACTCACATCATCCACACGCCGGCCGCGATGTTCAGAGGGTGGATGGTGACGCAGTTGAAGAGGCCTGAGATGGCGCAAGCTTGGAAGCGAGACAGGAGCAGGAATCAGCAGGGAGGAAGGGACAGAGCCTGCCGGGAAGGACCCCCAGCAGACCCCTTCCGACACCCGACACTTGCCTCCGCCCACAGCACCTACAAGTCTCCCCTCTGCCACCCGAGACAAGGGAGACCAACGTAACTGCTCGGCATCCCGGATGAGGATGCAGGCTCAGAGAGGGGAAGCGGCTGGTCCCAGGCCCCACAGCAAAGGTGTGGCTGGCTGGCTTGGAGGGCGTCTCACCCTCTGTCCAATGCATGGCTCGGAGGGCCGGCCTCTGAACCCCAGCCGTACCCGTACCCACTACAAGGTACTGAGGATGAAAAGAGAGAAGAGTCTGGAGGGCTCAGGCCAGGCAGGCGCCACCATTAGCAGGGTTGGCCACACAAGAAGCGCTCTGACGCAGAAAACGTGGCTTGGATTTTGGTTGGGACAAGAGCAGCCTCTCCCGGAACAGAAATCAGGACCAGGCAGCCCTGGGTAACCATGTCAGCTGTGTTCTCGTCACTGTTTTAGGCCTGTTTTCTCTCCTGCACATAGGCAAGTGCCACAGCCCAGGCCACCCACCCCTGAAACACCAGGCCCCGATGCCCCAAATGTGGAGCCTGGCCCTGCGCTCCTGACTGCGCCCCAGGGGCAGGGTGTGCCAGGCCCACCTCTGCACACACCAGCTGCCTCTGGGGCCCGCTTC